TTTGAGACAGAGTCTCGCTCTGTCACGCAAGCTAGAGTACAATGGTGCGGTGTCAGCTCACTGCAACCTCCGCCTCCCTCAAGCGATTCTCTTGCCTCAACCTCCCGAGTAGCTAGGACTGTAGGCATGTGCTACCACACTCAGCTAATTTTTGTATTTTTAATAGAGACAGTGTTTCGCCATGCTGGCCAGGCTGGTCTCAAACTCCTGACCTTGTGATCCACCCGCCTTGGTCTCCCAAAGTGCTGGGATTACAGGTGTGAACCACTGCGCCCAGCCAGGTGTTAGCAATTAAAGGAGATTTTAGCTGAGTGAGCAGTTAATCAAATGAACAAAGAAGAGTATACTGTACTTTTTTTTTTTTAATTTATTTTACTTTCAGATCTGGGATACATGTGCAGAACGTGCAGGTTTGTTACATAGGTATTCATGTGCCATGGTGGTTTGCTGTACCTATCAACCTGTCATCTAGGTTTTAAGCCCCACATCCATTAGGCATTGGTCCTATACTGTACTTTCTTAACAAGTAGTCTTGTTTTCACCATAATTTAACGTCTTAACTATTCTGATTCACTGCTTTTATTTTTCCTTTGCTCAGATGTTCTGGAAAAATTGTGAATTTTGTCCTTTTGAAAATATAGTTGGTTTGTTTACTCTGTAATCCAAAATGAAGCATGCTTTTTCCTAAAATTCAAACTAGTGGCATTTGCATAGTCACCTCTTCTCTTTGGAACCTGTCTACTTCTCTCAGTCTTGTCACTACTTCCTTAGTCCAAGCTACTATCATCTCTCTTGCCTGGATCTTTGCAATAGCCTCCCAGCTATCTTCATATGTTCTTGCCTCCTTCATTCTGTTCTCCCCATGGCAGCCAGGGTAATCATTTTGAAATGTATCTCATTACGACACTCACATACATGAAATCCGTTTCTCCTATACTAAAGATCAGTGTCCTTACATTGGTCTGTAAAGCCTCAATGGTCCTGCCTACCTGGCCAGACTCATCTCATGTTACATTGCACCAGCCACTCTGACCTTCTTTCAGCCCTTGATGGCGCTATGTTTCCTCCTGCACCCCTAGGGTTTTGCACGTGCTATTTTCTCTGCTGAGGATATTCTTCCCTCTCCTTTTCCACTGGTTAACTCCTGCTAATTTTTCAAATTTCAGCTTAGTTGTCACCCAGATTAAATATTTTATATTCTTATGGGACCAACTATGTCCTCTTCAAAGCAGTGATCACAGTAATTTCTGCGGTTCTTTAATTTTTGATTCTATAATGTAAAGATGCACGGTGGCAGATATCATGGTCTTTTACTCAACTTTGTATCCTGTATCTTTCGCAGTGCCTGTCACATGATAGAAGCTTAGTAAATTTGTGTTGATTGAATGAGTGAACAAATAATTTCTGAGAGTAAGATGCCAAAGATACAGAAACTTACAAGTGTCCCTCTCACTTAATGCTCAATGGGCAGAAAACAGTTAGGGGGAGGATGTGTAACACCAGACTTTTCTGTGCTTACGTTTGCATTGGCTTTCCACATAACTTAATCTTCAGTTGCAATAGGCTGTTACAGTCCCTTTCATTTAGTGGAACCGTCTTGGTTTTTGTTTTTTCTTTTTAGGAAATGAATGAGGACCATAGCACACCCAAGAAAGAGAAGCAAGAGCGGATCTCCAAGCATAAAGAGAACTTGCAGCACACGCAGGCTGAAGAGGAAGCCCACCTTCTCACTCAACAGAGACTGTACTACGACAAAAACTGTCGTTTCTTCAAGCGGAAAATAATGATCAAGCGGCACGAGGTGGAGCAGCAGAACATTCGGGAGGTATTTATTACGCTCATAACTATTGTCACTGGCATAGGAGACAGTAAGCTATGTGAGGCTTGTCACCACGTCTGCCTTGTCCATTCCTGTATCCCTAGCCTTTAGCACAGGGGCTAACACAGAGTCAGTATACAAAAAAAGTCACAGAATGAACTTACTGTTGATAAGAGGAAGCCCACTCACAGAACAAGGAATCAACTCCTGTATACATGGAATAGAATTGTATTAAACTCCTGTCATAAGCCATATCACACAATGAAGAATCAAAAGAAGTAGAATCGAGAATGTATGCTTTCAGCCTGCTTGTCAAGGACTTGTGTTTTTGTGACTCCGTGTAAAACATTTAAGTAACATTTTGTTGCTCTAGAACTAAATTCATTTATTCAGTCATCCAGCACTCTTTAGAGTGAGTACTAAACATCAGGGATACCAAGCAGCTATACTCCCTGCCTTCCAATGGCTGGAGTCTAAGAGCAGAAAAAAACATGTAACAGACTAGTTACAATACGATATGTTAGGTACCATGTTAGACGTGGAAATGAAGTATCATTGGCATACAATCATGAGAGGGCTTAGAAGACTCTGCTGTTGATGAAAAGATGAGTGTGACTAGAGTTCTCTGTGTTGGGAGTGGAGGGCAGAACGATGTTAGTTGAAAACAGAATGTAGAGACCCTTGTTTAAGGCAAGGCATTTCAAGTTTAGCCTGAAGGCAGTGCATGGCCATCAGAGATTTTTAAGCAGGGGAGTGACATGATGAGACATTTCTTTGTTTCAAAGAATTAGTGCATCAGCTGGGCATGGTGGCTCATACCTGTAATCTCAGCACTTTGGGAGGCTAAGGCAGGCAGATCACTTGAGGTCAGGAGTTCGAGACAACCTGGCCAACATGGTGAAACCCCGTCTCTACTAAAAATACAAAAATTAGCTGGGTGTGGTGGCATGTACCTGTAATCTCCCAGCTACTCAGGAGGCTGGGGCAGGAGAATCACTTGAGCCCAGGAGACAGAGGTTACAGTGAGCCAGGATCATGCCACTGCACTCCAGCCTGGTTGACAGAGCGAGACTTTGGCTCAAAAAAAAAAAAAGAAAGAAAGAATTAGTGCTTCACTATGAGAGAGTGTTGGGAGTCATGAAAAGCAAAGTGCAGCGAGGTCAGCCAGGATGCTCTTTTTCCAGTTCTAGCCTGGAAGAGGCTGTGGGGATAGAGGCAGTTAGATCTGAGTGACATTTCTTAACTCAGAACTGACAGTTAATTCTGACCAAATGGATATGGGAATTTCAAAAGAGGAAGTCAAAAGTGACTTCCAAGTTTCTAATTTGGAAGGTTGAATAGATATGCTGGTATTCACTGAGATGAGAAATACAGAATACTGTGTTCAACAGAAAATCACTGTGATCTGGAGTAAGCAGAGAAAACTTCATAAATGACCTAGCACAGTGGCAACAGTATCACAGTCTGACAAAAAGCCAGTGTTAGCCTACATGAGGGAAATAAGCACTTCAGGCACAGTTAATGCAAAAGTGAATTGATAGCAGCTTGTTGGAGAGCCGCGTTGAAATGAGAAGGAAAAAGGGTGAAGCAAACTGAGATGTATTAATACATGTAGGCCAGGCTTGGGCTCCTTATGCATGCTATCTTTTTGGAAGAGGGAGAGCTACGAGCTGCTGAACATTTTTTTTTGGAGACAGAGTCTTTTCCTGTTGCCCAGGCTGGAGTGCAGTGGTGCAGTCTCAACTCACTGCAACCTTCACCTCCCAGGTTCAAGTGACTCTCCCACTTCAGCCCCCTCAAGTAGCTGGGACTACAGGCACACAATGCCACACCAGCTAATTGTTATATTTTTAGTAGAGATGGGGTTTTACCATGTTGCCCAGGCTGGTCTCGAACTCCTGAGCTCAAGTGATCTGCCTGCCTCAGCCTCCCAAAGTGTGAGGATTAGAGGCATGAGCCACCGCATCCAGCCTGTGAACATTTTTGAGAAGGGCAGTGACATGGCCAAAATTTTACTTTAAAGAGATTAGCCCAGCTTGACAATAATATACAGAATGATTTGAGCATGAATTCTCAATGGGGCTGATGATGCCCCCAGTGGGTGAAAGTGTTGGGGTGGGGGGTGTCTTAGATGCTATTGTAGCTTCAGAGCACTGCAGTGCACCAACAGATACACAGTCTGCCTGTGGTATTAATATTTCAGTGGTGGGGATGATTAAGGGAGAAAAAGACTAAAAAGGCTCCTTATAGGGGCAATAATGAAAAACAAAAAAGCTTGAGAAACATAGAATTAGAGAGAAGAGACTGAAAGCAAGGAGATCAGGTGGCAGGAAATAGAGTATGGACAAGGCTGGTGTAGTAGTTGTCAGAGGTGGAAACGCAATTTGAAGTTTAAAGTAAACAGGACTTGACATATACTAAGGTATGAGAGAAAACGTAAAGACATCATCAAAATTATTTCTAGGGCTTAACACTAGGAGAAATGAAAATGTAGAAACAGAAAATTACAGAGAGGTTTTGGTAAGAAGCTGATTCAGGCCGGGTATGCTGGCTCCTGCCTATCATCCCAGCACTTTGGGAGGCTGAGGCAGGTGGATCACTTGAGGTCAGGAGTTCAAGACCAGCCTGCCCAACATGGTGAAACTCCATCTCTACTAAAAATACAAAAATTAGCCGGGTGTGGTGGTGGGCGCCTTTAATCCCAGCTACTTAGAAGGCTTAGGTAGAAGAATTGCTTGAACCTGAGAGGCGGAGGTTGCATTGAGCTGAGATCATGCCATTGCACTACAGCCTGGGCAACAAGAGCAAAACTCCATCTCAAAAAATAAAAAATAAAATTAAATAAAAAGCTGATTCAGTACTGCACATTTTGAGTTTGTCAGAAGTCAAAAAATCAAAATGAAAAAGGCTAATGGCCAGTTGGAAATAAGTTATTTGGGATTCTTTTCATGTGTCAGTTGTTACGCTAATAATAGATATTGGGAGGAAGTTTGAGCCTAAGGGGACAATCTGTGTCAATAAAAGTTATAGAAGACAATTACTCCCAAAAATGATAGAAACTATATCTGTGACTTCGTTAGTATTAGGTTCTAGCCAGCTGAGCAAAGAATAACTCTGTAAGGGTATTTTTCTTACAAGTTTAGACTTTCCTCTGTTTAGTCTTATTCCAGAGCCCACCTTCATGAAAATGTTCAAAGCTTTTTTATTTACAAAAGTAATTCAAGAACACTGAAAATAAACAAAAACAGAAAAATGTAAAGCTAAGTAGTGAAAGTTCTTTTTAGCAGCTTTCTTGAGATACCAACATATAAAAATTGTATATATTTAAAGACTACAACTTGATGTTTTGATATATGTATGCATTGTGAAATCATCACCACGTTAAAGCTAACTAACGTATCCGTTACCTCCGCATAGTTACATGTGTGCATGTGTGCGTGGGGATGGGTAGGGAGATTTAATTTAAGAACTGTCCTCTTAGCAAATTACAAGCATGCAATACGACATTGTTAACTATCGTCACCTTGCAGTGAGTGCGTTAGATCTCCAGTAATTATTCATCTTGCATCACTGGAGCTTTTACCATTTGACCAGCATCACCCCATTTTCACCTTTTTGTTAATCCCATTCCACCCAGTCTTTACCCACAAAGAGTCTCCATTAATTTGGCATAGAAATTTCTGGATTTTTTTTTTCTATATACATAATACAGCTATATTATATATGACTTTACAAAAATGAGATTACTTTTGTATCAGTAGGGTTATTTGATTTACAAGCAATAGAAATAAACTCTGGCCAACTTAAGCCTGGAAAGGAATTTATTGGAAGAATATGAGGTAGGTGACAGAGCTGAAGAACCAAGCTGGAAGACATGAAGAGTCACGCTGGAAAAGCAACTTCCATGACATAGAGAGCAAGAGTTCATGGGCACTGCCATTTGGATATACCTCCTCCAACCACTTTTTATCTTTGTATCATTTCTGTTCAAGATTCAAATTCCTAGGAGAGACAGAACTTGATTGGGTCATGTGCCTATGCCTTACTCAACCTTCTCTCTGATTCCAGATATAGGGTGGAGTCATTTTGCCAAAAAAAGGAGCCTGTAAACAGAAGCAGGAAAAAATGGATGCTGAGCTTACAAAAACTAGCAGATGTCCACTTTACAGTTTTATAACTCTTTTCTCCATTTACCACCTAGCACATACAGCTCTGCCTCATTCTTTTTAATTGAATAGTATTTTGTTGTATGGCTGCAATATAATTTATTTAATGAGACACTTCTCAGTGGACATTTTGTTGACGTTTTACAGTATTATTAACAATAATACAAGAACATGTTTGTACATAGATATTTTACATATAAACAAGTATTTTGTGGGCTATGTTTTCAGAAGTGGAATTTCTGGGTCAAAGAATGCGTACATCTAAATTTTTAAAATAGATATTGCCAAATTGCCCTCTAAAGGGGTTTATGCTCCTACCAACAAAGCATAAGAATGCCTGGTTTCCTGTAACTTTGCCTAAAGGATTGAGTATTAGCCATCCTTTTAATTAGTGAAAACACTTAAGAGGATCACTGAAACTGGGTTGAGCCTCTTTCTGTCACAACCACACACACACTCAGCGTTTTCTGACCAGTGTTGAAACTAAGAACTGAAACTAAGAAGGCATTAAATATCATAGGCTGACAGTATCTCTATTTAAAAGTTAGAATTCTCGTTTTTACTCAACCCCAGTGAGCCTGAGCATAAAAATTTGGCATGAGTGAAATCAGCTGCTTGTAAAGAAGTCAATACTACTTCCATTGGAGTTAGAATGCTTGAAACACAGTGGACATTGACTGAGGGAAAGGAAGCTACTTGTCTCTTACCTCACACTCCCTCCAGGGCCTATACTTGCATGTGTGTGTGTGTGTGTATGTGTGTATTATATACACATATGTGTGCATTATATACATATACACACACACACATACACATATATATATAGACATACACGTTAAG